TTGTCTTGTGGTGAATGCACAATGGAACTAGGACTAGTACCAGATCTTCTACTGATCCATTCCTACTCTCAGTATGATACTGTTACTTGTCTAGTTTTAATACCAGTACAAGTAATACATTGTTAGGATTTTCTATACATTGGTGCTGAAATGGGACAAAATCATGTAATAGTTTTGATCTGTAAAATTTCAGATGATATAGCTTAGAATTATGGTTTATTTTTTTCAATTTCTAACCACAGAACATATAACAGAATGTCAAAAGGTTATATAAGCCATTTAGATTCGTAGCACAAGTGGAAAATTGACAGTTCCCGTTCATTACAATGACACATTCCATTTCTATAGGACCGTAGTTTTTAGACTGTGTTTTTAGAAAGACCTAATAAAATTCTATAGGAACGATTATTTGAATCATTGGATTGTATCTTGTTTTTACAGCTAAGCAGTCCAAAGTCTTGTGTGTTGAAGAGGGGTTAATATATATATATATATATATATATATATTTTGGAAATTTCTCAAATGGAAATCTTGAATCCTGTTTTCTTATTTTAAGCTACAGAGAGGCAGGTAATTAGTGACGCAGATGGAGGTAATCCCAGATGGAAATTTAACTAGGAGGTGAGGCCAGGTGTCAGTCATAACCAGGAAAAAATGAATGCCCTTGTAAAACCACAGTTACAACTGAGTGTTAGTCATGACTTTTTAGCCCTGAGGGTTGTCAGTTCTTTTTACCAAGTTGTCTTCTGAGGAATGTACAGTGTTAGGACTTAAAAAGTAGGCTCTCTTATGGAGCTTGGTTCTTCCTTTGGGTGGCTACTCTGAGTTAAATGTGTACATAAAATGACCTCCTATCTCACTTATTGGCCAGTAGAAAGCCCAACAGAGGTAATCATTTTCAACTAAAGGGTACAGGAAGTTGATGTTTAATAAAGGTTGGGAGGTACCAGGTGGGGTGCCAATTTGTGTAACTGCACACACATAATGACATTTTTCAATTGGTTTTGGCACGATTCAAATGGAAAATTATTTCCTTCTAGCCAAGTGGACTTTGGAAAGATATGACAACTGTCTGAAGGTTCTCAACAGGGTCTGTTCATGGTCATATAACACCTTCGGGAAAAGATTTTATTTTAGCAGTAAACTCTATCCTGCCCACCTGGTCTACCCCTGTTTCCCTCAGCCTGTGCTACCTTTTAGGTAATTTTTTTTAAACGAGTTGTGTATAAGTTAGAAACACAAACCATGCAAAGTCTTTATGTCAGATCATTTCTTTAGCCTAACTATACATTCCTTGTCAGTGCCCCTGATACGCCCAGGGTGTAAATGAGGATTTGGTTTTAGTTATTTACTTTTATGGAAACAGTCCTTTCTATATTGGTTCAATACTATACTAGGACTTGGTCTTACTGTTTTGACTCTCACATTTGTTTCCTGATTTTCATGAAAAGGCTTACTTACTTTTGGATGGAATTTTGAAAATTACCTAAAATATGATGTGCTATCTAAAAGAACAAGGACTTTGTTCACCACGGCCATCAGCATTTACAAGGGTGCTTTATATTTCTTTAGTTGCTCAATAAATTGTTGAGGGAATGCTGAGTTAGATTGAGAAGTATACTTTAAGTTCTCATAAATGTGTTGGCTTGGATCTGTAGGTAACTGGTATATGGCCCTGACCTGTTTTTCAAGGTGATTATTTCATCTGTGGCTATGGTACTGCCTTACAGGGTTGTAGCCAAAAACCGACTTCTGTAGGAGGATCTAGGTGAATAGATTCAGGAGGTAACAGGAAAGCAAAAAAATCTGAGTAAATAGGACAAAAATGGTAGGTAGTAGGTACAGTCAACATTGATGTTGCTGTAGTTTGGATATGGTTTGTCCTCACTGACACTCATGTTGAAATTTGATCCCCAATGTATCAGCAGTGTTGGGAGGTGGGAACTAGTGGGAGGTGTTTGGGTCATGAGTGCAGATCCCTCATGAACAGATTAATCCCCCATGGATAGATTAATGCCCTTCCTGGGTGGCAGTGAATTCTTATTCTCGTGTAACTGTGTTTGTCCCTATGATAGCAGGTTGTTAAAGAGTCTGGATTCCACGATTTCTCTCTCGTTTCCTCTCTCACCATGTGGTCTCTTTGCATGCATGCCCTTCCCCCTTCCACTTTCTGCCATGTGTGGAAGCAGCATGTGGCCCTCGCCAGATGCAGCCGCCCAGTCTTGGACTTATCAGCCACTAGAATCGTGAGCCAAATAAGCCTTGGTGTTTTTATTTATTTACTTTTTCTTTTTTTTTTTTCAATTACCCAGCTTCAGGTTTTCTGTTAGGAATACAAAGTGGACCAAGACAAATGTCTGTAAGATGAGACGGAAATGGTAATAGGTATAGTCAACATTCAAGAGTTTCAATTGGGTAGGAAAGATTAGTTGGAAAGCCGATTATAGAATAAGAACCAGGAAAAAACGTCTGTAGGTTCCAATAAAAATTAATGGATATGTTCCAGTACACACAGTGCTATTTACCACACATGATCTTTGAAAAAAGTTTCTCCTCAATGCCCCCTCCCTGCGTTTTCTATCTGTCTATTTATTTATTTTGAGACAGAGTCTTGCTCTATCACCTGGGCTAGAGTGCCATGGCATCAGCCTAGCTCACAGCAACCTCAAAGTCCTGGGCTCAAGCTATTCTCCTGCCTCAGCCTCCTGAGTACCTGGGACCACAGGTGCACACTATCATGCCTGGCTAATTTTTCTATTTTTAGTAGACACAGGGTCTCACTCTTGCTCAGGCTGGTCTTGAACTCCTGATCTCAAACAGTCCTCCTTCCTTGGCCTCCCAGAGTGCTAGGGTTACAGGTGTGAGCCACTGTGCCCAGCCAAAAAAAGCTTTTTTAATTGAGATAAAATTAAGTATCATGAAACGACATGTACCTTGCATAAGTATACAGTTAGGAGTTTTGACAAATATTTATCTGTATAACTGACCAATACACCAGTGAGAATACAGAATATGCCCATCACCCCAGAAAGTTCCCTTGGCTGGATAAACTAGTTGTCAAGCTTGGGTCTTCAGTAAAGTGAGGATGATGATAAAGCTCATCTTACAAGGTTGTTCACATTATTACAGTAGCAACCGACCATTGTGTGTGAGTTAGAAAGTTGCCAAAAATTTCATTTAACTCTAAAACAACTCTCTGAGACAGATCGTTATTGTTATATATATATTTTACAGATGAGGAAAACAAGGCCAAGATTGTTTTGGGCTTGTCTAAGGTAACCCAGTTCCTGAGTAAATTTGGGGGCCCCGTGAGTAGTGTGTGCCCTCCTTGTCAGGTGGCTCTAGGGTCTGTCACTGTGCAGAGCTTCCATGCATTAGGTGATTTGTTACTGTGGGGAAGAGGGTGGAAAGAGATCAGGATTACACATCTGAACTGAGTTTCATGTCCATTGCTGCTACTTACTAACTCTGTTTCTTGGACAGGGTATTCAACTAGACACACCAGGTTTAACATCTCTAAAAGGGGAGAGGGGCTGCGCGCGGTGGCTCAGGCCTGTAGTCCTAGCACTCTGGGAGGCCGAGGCGGGTGGATTGCTCAAGGTCAGGAGTTCGAAACCAGCCTGAGCGAGACCCCCCCCCCGTCTGTACCAAAAGTAGAAAGAAATTAATTGGCCAAATAAAAACATATAGAAAAAATTAGCCAGGCATAGTGGCGTATGCCTGTAGTCCCAGCTACTTGGGAGGCTGAGGCAGGAGGATCGCTTGAGCCCAGGAGTTTGAGGTTGCTGTGAGCTAGGCTGACGCCACGGCACTCACTCTAGCCTGGGCAACAAAGCGAGCCTGTCTCAAAAAAATAAAAAAATAAATGAATCAAAAAGGGAGAGGGATGGGGGAAGATGAGTGTCACATAACTGGTCTGTCCCACGGGACTGTCATCGGGGAGGAAGGCTGTGAGAACACTCTGTGGACTTTGAAGAGCTGTGTGCTGATGTTGCTATCTCTGTCCCTGGGGGAGGCAGCGGCCAGCTCCCTCATTCTGGCCTCGCTGCGGGCAGAGAAGTGGAACTGACAAAGTGTCGGGGGAGGCGGTGCCCCCTTGCCTGTCCCTTGATTTGCTGAACACTGTTTGCACAGGGCCTTGTCTCACAAGCCCCTCTCGCATTCAAAGGCATCAGATCATTTTTCTCAGCCATGAGGTCAGCCTCATGCCATAATACTTGTCAACTGTATTAGGAAAGAGTGTGTTTTAGGAAAAATTCTATTTTTATTTTCTTTTGGAAAGAGACGGCTGTGATATGAAACAGCACGTGTTGGTTGAGGTGGGTGAGTTCCTAAGTGAGGGAAGGAACTGTGGCATGATCTGGGCCTGAACAGAATTATCTGGTGCCCCTCTCCTATATTCCTGAACATAAGCTCCTCCCACGGTGTGTTTAAAGGCTGTTTATTAATCATGGTGCCCTAACTCTTAGCGTTTAATATAGAACCCCGACTCCTCAGTGCTGCTGGAATGGGTCCATTTCTTCCAGCCCCAGCCATTCTGCCAACTCTAGAAGCAGGTTCAACGCTTAACGCATGATGGCTCAAAACGAAGCTTTGTTTCTTTATAACACAATTGCCTCACGCGTCCCCATTTTCTCTTGTAGAGAATGTATAAGCAGCAATCTCTAGGTAGATAAAACATGGTTCCTTTTTTTTTTTTTGAGACAGAGTCTCACTTTGTTGTCCAGGCGAGAGTGAGTGCCGTGGCGTCAGCCTAGCTCACAGCAACCTCAAACTCCTGGGCTCAAGCGATCCTGCTGCCTCAGCCTCCTGAGTAGCTGGGACTACAGGCATGCACCACCATGCCCGGCTAACTTTTTCTATTTATTTGTAGTTGGCCAATTAATTTCTTTCTGTTTATAGTAGAGACGGGGATCTTGCTCTTGCTCAGGCTGGTTTCGAACTCCTGACCTTGAGCGATCCTCCTGCCTCGGCCTTCCAGAGTGCTAGAATTACAGGCGAAAACATGGTTCCTTTTGGTTTAAAATGAGTAAATACTCCAGGATTTAAATTTGGGCAGTTCACACTTCCTTTCTAAGGTTCCTCTCTCCTGGTAAGGGTGGTTTTCCTCCCTCCCCAGAGCACCTGCTCCTGAGGTGTTACCTGGGTCCCGCAGCAGCTTTGTACCTCCTCATGGCTCCTGTCATGGCTGTGGGTGAGGCCTTGTGGTCCAGGTATAAAAAGACTTTATACAGAGTTGAAATTATGTGGACAAAGGCATGAGTGGATACTGGAATTATTCACTTAAAAAACAGTGGGGGCTCTTGAATTGCATAAATATCGATAGAGTGAGTATGGGTAAAGCAATTCTCTCCCAGCCTTCATGGAAAAATCTTCACTGCCTTTGGCTCTGCTTTTAAAATCTGAACTGACCTTATCAGACCATCCGAGCCCACAGATGGGTGAGAATGGGAGCAGTGGTTTTGGCCTTGGTCAGTTTGGAATCTTTGGCCATAACTGAGCTTCAGATTGTCTTAAGGGATGGAGTCAGTCAGCATGTTACTAAATTGTTTCTGTTGAATTTATTGCTGAGGGCACTTATTGAGGTTTCCATCCTGATTGACCTTCACAAACCAGTGATTTTTAAAGGCTGTCACACCTCTGGGAGCCAGACTCAAGGACAGTTTTCATGGAGCTAAAAGCTATGGGTTAAACATGTGAGCCTTAGGGATATACAGCTAAACAAAGCCCAATGTATGAATTTCCAAATTTGTCTCATAGCATAACAGCATACATACTGAATGTCTATTTTTCTTTTCTCTCTCTCTCTTTTTAAAAATTATACCTATTCCACCATGTGTATTGAGGACAGATTCTAAGATCTGGTAGGCTCCATTTTCCTGTACTCCCATGTAAGCAATACAGAAAGTAGCCAATCTTAGAGCACTGAGATTCTGTTCTGCTTATGAGGCTCAGGAAGGGAACTTAGCTGGGTTTCTTGCTTCCTGAGACCCATGTTGTGTGTTCCTTGGATTTCCTGGCACACCCCACATTGAGCAGTCCCTGGAAAATCCCAACTCCACAGTGCATGGAGGGGAAGACAGGTAGAGATGTCCTCACCTTCAGGGCCAGACACTCGGATACGCAGATGTGTCACAGCCAGGACCAGGGAGTGAATCTTCTTTATTTCTTAGATCTGCAGCTTGGAGTCTAGCCCAGCTTGTCCTCTCATATACTGGAGCCAACATGTTATCCTTAATGGTTTCATAAGGTCTTCATTTCATGTTATCAGCACAAATCTAGGGACCAAATATTTTTGACACCAAAGTCTTGTGGGTTCAGAAGAGACATTACAACTCTTCACAAAGTCCAAGTTAGGGGTAAAGGAGAGAGATCGATTTTGATATGTGTTGATACCCTTGGAGGAGAGGTACAATATGAAATACATAAATATGTTTCCTTACATCTTTGGGTGTACTCTCCCATAAAATTTTAGTTGTTCCAACATTTAAGCCTAATTTGAGGTTGTTATGCTTCATTTTAATAGTGAGATGGAAAAACACAACATTTATCTTGAATCTATAGTTCCTGAAATTCATGTTATTATAGTTGTCTTTTATAGAGGTGTAGCAATAGATAGTGTAGCAATAGATAGTTTTAGCATCAAATGTATTTAGTGTTTCTGGTAGGCCCATTCCAATTAGAAATGGTATAGTATATGGTTATATTTATAGATAGCACAAGGGGGCATTTAACTTACTACATCATCTTGGTATGCTATTCCTTTTTTTTGAAAGATGACTAAAATTTTCTTTGAATATTTTTATCAATACCTCTTTTAAAGCTGTTACACAAATCTGAAATCTCAGTGGTCCGAATGGCCATGACATGTAAGGGAAAAAAAATCTCATTGATGAATTGTTCTAGATTTTTGGGCACATGGGTTAAAATCCATACACAAGGAGTATCTCAGCTTTGGTTTGTTAACCTGGTGAAATCGGGCATACTGCCTTGCACATTTGAGATGGGGGCACAGCCTCAGGTCTGGCCAGCTGAGGGCTGTAAGGTTAGAGGTGGCTGTCCTACCCTGGCTGTCCTTGGAGGGCGTCCTCCTTTATCTCTTAGGAGATTCCTGCTCTGTCAGCAGAGAAGTGTTGCTAATCCTACCAGGGCTTGCCTGGCTTCTGAAGGGTTTCTCTCTATAGACAGACTACCTCGTGCTTATGTAGGGCCAAGTTAGAAATAAATAAGAGAGGGGCCGCTGGCCTAAAAATAGTCACAGCTTTACGGAGAGGGCCTAGATGGCCCAGAGCCACTGCCACCTTCCTGCTGCCAGAAGAGGATCACATAGGAGGGAAGGAGGCAGTGGAGTGGGATTGGTGTGTTGTCCAAAGACAGGTGCTAAGAGTGTGGAGAAGTATTTTCTTCTTGGCTTGCATAAGGGGAGGTAAAAGCTTGAATGATTGATTTAAAAAAAATTTTAGGAACAATGAAAGTAAACATTGAGTTTATTTTATGAGGTTTGGCTTACTGGGATATATTTCTAATTGATTCTAATTTGCAGAAAACACTTTTGTATTTCCTGTTAATCACCGTCAGTCTCAGAAATCGAAACAGTAACATGTTTGTTTCCTATACTGCCTCGGAGCACAAAGCGGACCATTGTTTGAAAACTAGTAGACAACAGGACATAGAAACAAAAACCTATCCGTTTTAAATTGAAGTTGATGGGAGGATTCTTTAATATTCTTACTAATAACTCTTTGGATATGGAAAGGGTCCAGATTTTATGTTGAAGTCATGTAGGCTAGAAGAAACTTCAATTGGAAATCGAGACACAAAATAATCCTTACAGAATGGCAGCTGTTTTTCTGATTGGGTGTAAGGCATTTTGCAACTAAATATTTCTTTGGGAGACTTCTTTGTTCTATTCCAGATAGAACCAGATCACTTTAGAAATTGTGCAGTTAAGCAATCCGTGGCCAAAGGGCAAGAGCACCCTTCTTCCCTGGAAGCCTTCAGGGTAATTGATTAGATAAGAGGAGAACACGTACTGATTTAGGGGTGGGTGGTCATTGGTGTGTAGGGATTTCTTCCGCAGCCTCTCAGGGTTGACTGCTAAACGTAAGCAGTGTCGTCTGATGAGAGGTGGCAGCGAGGACTCCCTTGGCTCTGAAGATATTTCTTGTTACCTTTAGCACAAAGGTCAGTCTGTGGCTAATTGTTGTTCCGGGTCACTGGGTCTCTTTTTTTGTATTGAATGTGATGGGCACCCATGAGAAGTCTTGGACTGGAGGTAGCAGGAACTGAGTGACAATTCAGAAGGGTCATTCTGGTTGCTACGTGGAGAGAGTGTTGTAAGAAGGCAAGGGCCTAATGATGGACCTGTTAGTCATCTGGGAGAGAGACAGTGGTGGCATGGGCCAAGAGTTAATGGTGGAGGTGAGAAATGGTTGCTTTTGAAATGTCTTTTGCGGGTGGTGCCTTTTGGAGTTGCTGTTGGGGACAGCTTATGGCTGACTCCTAGGTTTTTGGCCTGATGAACGTGGGTGTGTTGATGGCGTTGCTTACCGAGAATGCTGGGACAAGGAGCAATTTGGCAGGGATCCAGAACCCGGAGTTCCCTTTCAGACTTGAACTCTGAGATGCCTGTTAAATATGCAAATGGAGATGTCACACTGACAGTTGAGCATTTGAATCTGGACCTTTGGGGAAAGACCAGCGCTGGAGATGAGCTTGTGGAAATTGTTACCAAATAGAATGTATTTAAACCAAGATGGGAGTGTAGGAAGAGCAGGGAGTGGGGGCTGGGCCCTGCCCTTGGTCCCAACACTTGGAGGTCGATCAGAGAAGAATCCCACAGAGGCATTTGCCAAAGAGAAGTCTGTGGGTTTGGGAGGAAGACCAAGATAGAATAGCACCTCCGAGGCCAAGGCAAGGAGGTGTCCTCAGCTTGAGCCCCATAAGGTGAAGAGTTTTGTTTACCAAAGGGGGGGACACTTTGTTCACTTCTTGGTAAGAAAGTGTGTGTGTGTGTGTGTGTAGTTATTTAGAAACTTTGATAGTCTTCAGGAAACTGGCAAATAAGTCATGGTAAATTCAGCCAAAAGTGAAAAACAAACAAATCTTTCAAGAAATCATCAGAACATGAGATTTAGTTACCCTTAGGCAACCTCATTTCAGGGGAAATACATACATTCTGTTGATCATTTTTTGAAACATTGACAACGTGTGGAAGAACCATATAATACTCCTTGCAGGTCCCTAAAATCCAAAACACATCTCCTGGAGTGCTGTTTTAGATCTTCATTTATTAGGGCTCTGTCTTGGGAGGTCCTATTGCACATAATACCCAAATATTAAAATATAGCTGCACTTCATGTATCTAAACAGTTGCATTGCCGTTGACTGCTGGTGGGACGAGACATTCGGATCCTTTGACTTTGTGCTGCCTCCCCTGCCCCTTTGTCTTCAAGCTCCTGTGACTCAGTCAAAGAGCCCTTACCCGACGCCCACTCCGTGATAGCAGTTGGAGCATCCGTGACGTTCTGCATTGGCTGCCATTTTGTTTGCGTAGTTGTGTTTCCTGTTTGTTTCGTTCCTTCTATATTAACTCATGGCAGAGTGTTGGGCGTAAGATGGGCACTCAATATGCTTGATGAATAAACACCATCCAGTGTTAGAAAATACATCTTATAGGTGCCAAAGTAGCTTTGGTTTGGTTTCCAAGCTCAGTGTCATCTTTATTTATTTATTTTTGAGACAGAGTCTTGCTTTGTTGCCCAGGCTAGAGTGAGTGCCGTGGCATCAGCCTAGCTCACAGCAACCTCAAACTCCTGCGTTCAAGCAATCCTGCTGCCTCAGCCTCCCGAGTAGCTGGGACTACAGGCATGCGCCACCATGCCCAGCTAATTTTTTCTATATATTTTTAGTTGGCCAATTAATTTCTATATATAGTAGAGATGGGGTCTCACTCTTGCTCAGGCTGGTTTTGAACTCCTGACCTTGAGCGATCCTCCCGCCTCGGCCTCCCAGAGTGCTAGGATTACAGGTATGAGCCACTGCGCCTGGCCTCATCTTTATTTTTGAGTCTGGTTTATTGAGTTATAATTTACATAGAGCAAAATTTTCCCCTTTTTTAGGTGTACAGTTGAATCAACGTTGACAAACACATGTAGTTGTTAAACCACTACAATTACAGTCCACCAGTAGAAATTTCCGTGATTTCAGAGTTTTCTTGTGCCCCTCTCAGCTCTCTTCCTCCATTCTCAGGAAAATGCTGATCCTGTCCCCTTAGTTTTGCCTCTCCAGATGTTGTATAAATGGAGTTATGTAGCCTTTTGTGCATGGCATCTGTTGGCTAGCATGTGTGTTGGATTTATATCTGTGTCGTATCAGTGGTCTACCTTTTTATTGCTGAACTGCTGAGTGGTATTTCACTGTATGGATGCACCACCATTTTTTTGTTGCTGTTATTGTTCATGTACCAGTGATGGACAGTTGAGTTATTTCTAGTTTTTGGCAATTAGAATTTTCTTCCTAGTTTTAATTAATAACGCCTACAAGAAATGAAAACAGCACTAGTGACCCACAGCCTCATACCCCTTTTTCACATCTGCTGTTTTCATTTTACTGTGTTCTTTTGCTATGTTTTTTTTACATGGGTTCAATCATAAAACACACATACATTTTTCCTAGTTGTTTTGTAAACTGCATAGTTTGCAAATGGCTGTATTTCATTGAGTTACCATGCTGTAATTTTCCAATTAGTTCCCTGTTGCTGCCATTTAGAAAATAAGTTAGAAACCTTCTGAATTTTTTCCTGCAATAAATTTTGGTAACAGTTTACTTAAGACTCTCAACTGATTGCAGACTGACATTGAGTAATAAAGAAAAAAAAAAAAAAAAGACTCTCAACTGAAAGTAATAGAAACAAGTTGAAGCAAATGGGGACAAGAACTGGGGAGGTATAATATTATCAGGGTATGGATTATTTGTTAGAACTCGGTGTCCAGGAGGCTGTCAGAACCAAGTGAGTTAGGCAGTCATCCCGTCATTGTTGTCCATTTCTGCTTCTCTTAGTACATTGCTCCCATTATTCTCTTTCTGTGGAGATTTGCTTTCTCTGCTTCTGGGTGTGTGGAGGAAGGTGGCTGGTGCTTAGGGCCCGGATTTATGTTCTTCAGTCCCAGGGAGTTCTAGGAATACACCAGGCCTGGCCAGCTGTGTCACATTCAAATGTTGGAGCAGGAAAATCTGACCCCTTTTGAGGTAGGTGTCTACACAAGGGCTGATTCACTAGTTGGCATAGAGGAGCCCACCTCAGTGGGCAGAAGGGGTTGTTTTCAGAGAAAGGGAGGGGTGGTGTGAACTGAGCCCAAACTCAAAGTTTTCCTCTTTAAAGTAAGATAACATAAAGTCCATCTTTATACCTGTTGACATTCCTTTCTAAAAGGGCAGTTACAATTAGGTCTTTTTTTTTTTTTTTTTTTTTTTTTTTTTTTTGAGACAGAGTCTCACTTTGTTGCCCAGGCTAGAGTGAGTGTCATGGCATCAGCCTAGCTCACAGCAACCTCAAACCCCCAGGCTCAAGCAATCCTTCTGCCTCAGCCTCCCGAGTAGCTGGGACTACAGGCATGTGCCACCATGCCTGGCTAATTTTTTCTATATGTATTAGTTTGCCAATTAATTTCTTTCTATTTTATAGTAGAGACAGGGTCTCGCTCTTGCTCAGGCTGGTTTCGAACTCCTGACCTCGAGTGATCTGCCCACCTCGGCCTCCCAGAGTGCTAGGATTACAGGCGTGAGCCACCACACCCGGCCTATAATTAGGTCTTAAAAGAGAAGAGGGCCGGGGGAGTAGTATAGATAACTATTTCTTTATATTATATTTGTATTTTAGATGCCAAAAACTGTTGTTTACCTCTTCTTAATCTTGACCCCACACCTATGAGTGGTAGTTAAGGTATAGCTAAGAAAATCTAATTTACAGCTGACATGTATCGAATGCTCATTTTATGCAAGCATTTTTGTTCCAGAAACTTCTGTACAGGTATTGGTTGGTGTCTGCAGGGCATTGGTTCCAGGGTCCCCACTCTCCCAGCCTGTGCCTGCCAAATCCAGTCTGTGAATACATATTAATATAAAATGCTGTTGTATTTGCATGTAAACTATTCATATTCTTCCATATACTTTAAATCTTCTCTAGATTACCTGTAATACCCAATACAGTGTACATACTATATAAATAGTTGTTATACTGTCTGTATTTTTATTTGCATTATTTATTTTTTCCAAATATCTTCAATCCTCAGAAGCAGAGGGCCAACTGCAAATCCAAGCAAGTGTATAAGACAGCTCTTATTCTCAGAACCATGCATTCTAATCAAGGTTTATTTAACCCCAGAGAAGGAGTTCCTTATTATGTTTTTTTTCTTGGACTCTGATTCCTAATCTTCATATTTTACTGCATACCTTTTTTCTCTCAGATCCTCACTGGCATGCCAACAGTAAAGAGAAACACTAGCTGCTGAGCCTAAGTTAACGTTTCAAACCTATTAGTTGAAAAGGGGGATGGGGGGGGGAGTTGTGTGTACAGGTCTATTGCACAAACTTGGGAAACTAGAAGGATAATTTGGTTGACAATAGATAGTTTTTCTTCCGACTTTATCTTTGTGGATTTAATCTCCTTTTGACTCTCTAACATGGGTTAATGAGCCGTGTTACGTAATCTTCAAGTAGTTTCCATGCCAGGACTTTTTCAAGGGTACCTTGTGTCCAATTTTTTTTTTTCCTCCCTTTTATCCCTTGTGTATGTTTCTTTGTGTTGAATCATAGGTGGTTGTGTAGTTTCCGAAATTGGAAGAACTACTCTGGCTGTTTGCAGTGTAATGATCTGAAATGTCCTTTACTTAGTGGCTAGATCTTCTTTATCATTTGAGTGATAACTGGGTTATAAAAATGTTGAACATACCGTGTCTAGTTTTTGGGCCCAGTTTGTCTTTGTAGAAAAACTTAACCATCTTTGCGACCCGGTAGAGTACTGAATGTACTGGTTTCTTATCTTAATTGGCATCAGCGATTGTAGCCAAAGTGCTTCCTTGATATAACATCAATACAAATGAAGCTGGGCTCTTCTACTGGGAAGCAGGACCAGATAATTACGCTTTAGCCGATGCATTATGACAGTCATGATTATGAGTAGT